AATAAAAGATAATTAGACCTGTGTTATTTGCAATTTAAAATATAACAATCAATTACTGTATGTAGAGAAAATATTTATCTCAACAGCCATAAGGAGCTTTAATTATTGTATGACCATCCATCTTTTCGATATATGAAAAAATTTCGCACTTGCTTATATTGCATATGGTTTTTGAAAAACGAATAGCAAGTCCACTTTCAGAAAATTTAGTATTATAAATGCTTCAAATGATTTTGATGCTATAATTTTGTTTTGACTACCAGTCAAGCATGCGATTATATTATTAAAGATCACAGTCTTAGATTTTAAAAGAAAATGAATCCAAGATTTATAAGCTATATGATTAAAACATGCTCTAATAGGGTGCCAAACTAATTATGAAAAGCAATTGATAGTAAATATTAGATTTGCAATTGCAATTTTTGATAGTATAATTAGTAATTGTTTGATAATAACCTTCATCTTGATCTTTGATATACATAACTTTATTCTCCCATTTAAAAAGTTGATCATATTTAGCAACATCGTAAAGTATTACAATCCAAACATGTTCTTTAGTCTCTTCGGAGATTGCAGCCACATATCTAGTTGCTTCTATTTCATCGCTAGCCATATCACACACTACAGCAAGCTTACCAAGAGAGGAATTAGTGTCTTTTAGAGCTTGTTTAAATGCTTGTATTATGAGTTTATATCCATTTTGTCTTTTATTATTTATATCTAGCGAAGGCATTGAGGATTGTCCTGCAGGACCTGAACTGGATTCAATAATGATTATTTGTCATTACTATTTGAATTAATTACATTGAAGAAATCAGAAGCTAAGAAGAAAGTAATATAAAAAGTAGATATTTATATATATTAATAATTAAACCAAATATATAGTTCATAATATACATTAACATAAATCGAAGTAATCATCTGCCCATTTAAAAAATTTTGGTTCATACTCTAAACAATTTCTCAAAACATTTACATCAATTTGAGGATTTAAGTTTTTATATCTTGTAATAATACGATTATTTTCTAAACTGAAAAAAAAAAGTTACAATAGGATGAACCATAGTACTGAGAGCTTTTGAATTAAAACAAAATTCTGGATCAATATCCCCCGAATACACTTTTTTTGTTGGGTTATTAATAGACATGGTATTAATAAAAACATTATTTTCTTCCTCTTTTCCAGTATAAAGTCTTTTATTTGTATCTGAATTTAAGATTGAATTGTTTATTAGAGATACTGTATTCATGTTGTAAGTAAGAATGAAGTTTCTTTAGTAATGATTTAAAAGTAGAGATGAGTTTTATGCGTAAATCAGAGGTGACATATTCATTGATAAAAAATTTTTTATGTTATTATAGAATACTTTTTTTTGAATCCCTATGATTATAGAATCTTTTTTTTGATACATATGCTGAGAATGAAATCACTTCCATATTTGAACGGTCTCTGCTATAATTTACATATAAAACTAGCGTAGAATTTCTTTATTGGTTTAGATTAATTGTAAGGTTATAATTTTCAGATTATTAATATATAATTTTCAGATTATTAATATATAATTTTTTGATTATTATTAATACTGTATATAATTTTTTGATTATTATTACTAAATCTTACTACGTACTAAATTTTACTTAATGATAATAAATAAAAAAAAAAACTGATACTTTGGTAGTAAATCATAGATTATTATATACAAACTTAACTGGTCAAGTTCTAATCAAAGTCTCTATTTGAGGAGTCTGAACAAATAGGATCAGACTTTTAACAGCTTTAGTAATAGTGATGCAAAATAGCTCGATCGGCTTGTATATTCAGTATCCCTTAAACTGTTTAAAATTCAATACAAATTTGGCCTGAATTTTACTATAAAACTACTTCTGATCTATTTTTTAAAAAATTTAGCATAGTTAAATAAAAATTTTTTTGATAATATTTAAAGATAAGGATTATATTTTGTAAAATTTATATTCAAATTATAAAACAAAAAATTTAACTTGTTTATAAGCTAAAACTATACAAATTTTAAATAAATTTTTAATTAAAAAATAATTTATAATTTTTAATAAATTCTTTAAATATTAATTTTAAATTATAGTTTTTTAATAGAAATTATAGTTTAAATAAAGAATTATAATTTTCATTATTGTAACTTTGTAATTTATTTGTAAAAATTAAGACTTGTATTAAAAGTAAAATTTTTTTTTATAGACAGAAACATATAAAATTTTAAAAATTTAATGAAAAATTTTATAATAAAAATTTTAAAATAAAAACTTTAAATCTTTATTATTCTTAAGTTTTTTAATAAATTAAAATTTTTTTTTACAAAATTATTAAAATATATTTCAAAATATATTTTTTACTTAAAAAGTACATAGCTAAAATTAATATTTAGATTTTTATTTTAAAAATAGAACTTTTAAAAAAAATTCAGTACAAATTTGTACAAGAAGCAGTTTAAGAGATAATAAAAACCTATAGAGTCAGCCGATTTGCATCTTTATCTAGTAATAAGTAAATCATCTTGCCCAAAATTACGTGAAAATTTGTCAATAATCAATAGAATTTGTGCACTGATGCTACGTATGTGTTTGTACTATACGTATAGATTAGGATATTGATTTATGTAAAACTATTTTTTGACAGGTTACCTAAATTGTACAGTGGTGGCGTATTAATTAGCCAAAGTAATTTGTGCCAACTAAAAAATTCTAATGATAACGATAATAAAATTATAAATTTGAATAGAATGAAAACACTATATTTTCTAACGTTATTTCTATTGAATTGTGTTTTTTTTTTATTTTCAAAAAGATATTTTACTTCTTCATAATATTTAGTTCTAATATTATTGTTTGAATTCAAAGAAATATTCATATTCATTTATAATGTTTATAAATTATAATTTTTAAAATTTTTACAGGCCAAATTGACAACTCGTCAAAGTTCTTAGTAAGCATATAAAAAATATTGGCTTTAGTATATGTTGACTAGAGTCAACAAATCGAAAAGACAGAGAGAATGGTCAGGAGTTACACGCCATGTACTACAACCTCTGCTTTGATGACATGAGTCAGAGATCGGAATTTCATACAAATAAAATGACGTAAATAATAAAGAAGCGACAAATAACTCACGATACTCTGTTCTCTTTCAGCACAACCAAGCATTACAACCGTCTCTTTTTTCTCGAATTAAACTTAATGTTAGCCAAAACAATCCTTAACAAATATATTCATTAATTATCCACAACAAATATATCCCCAAATTTTCTATAAACTATTTAACAAACCTTTTTTTTAAAAAAAAAATCAGTAACTCAACCCACTTTAAAAAAAAAAAAAATATCCTAACAAACGACTTATTTAATAAACTCTGTCGTTCTGTATAAAAAACTCTTTAATTCATTACAATAGTCTCAACATGATGATCTATTATCTTCAAACATTTGTTACAGGCCTACGTGACTATGTTTCTACAGTGCGGGACAGCATAAGACATCCACTGCGTCAAATTTGATCAGAACACTATAAACATTCACTTTCATATATAAAACAGGTGCCAAATCTAATGAGGACAACATAAAACATCCAATTTTTTATATAAAAGCACAAAATTTAAGATCATATAAGCACAAGACCGAAACACATACTGACTCTAACATAAAATCATATATCGATGGCTCAATTCATTCACTGATATCAATGGTTAATTCTGCCAAGTACATGTCGACATACTAAAGCCTTGGAAGATATATCTTCGAACAAATATCGGCCTCACTTTGGCCCAGTGTGATTGAACATGTCCAGTAGCACTGTGACACGTATCGATGAATCGTCGAGGCCAATCTTATAAATCTCCATGATAGTGATAAAAGCCTGCATGCTTATCTAGCAATCTCCAACTAACGAACAAAGAAAATGAGACATCCTGTTATCAGAAAATATTAGTAGATGCATATTGTAAGCACACCATACTAATTTCCTTTGGAACCAATTTAAGGCTTGGATTAAAAGAAGAAAGCACTAGGGATACACTTTGCAGAAACAATACCTCAAGATACTAAATCTCCAACGTAGCCAGCTTAGATCAGAGGCAAAGCATTAGCAGATGCACTTATAGTAGGGATTGGAACCGTTTAACTGTTTAAAAATTGCTCCATAGTTCCAGGTAGAATTATGTTGGTCGTAGGACAGAATTATTTTAATGCCGGTCAAATTAAATAGTTAAACGATTAAACGATTAAACAATTAAGAAAATTTTAGGCGGTTCCAATCTCTAACTTATAGAATATCGCACCAGCCTTTTGGCACTTATTGGAATAATTTGGATCAGTGAGATAACACTGACAGAATGCAATTGCCAAAACCAAAGGCACTCGATATGCTTTGTAAGAATGCTGTGATAACCTCTTCAAATTTCATTCATAGCGATCTTGAATAGGGATGAATGACTAAGGTTGCCGGTGATGACGTATATCTGCTAAATTATAAACCCAAAAGGTTAAGCCAATCAGAACACTTTTCAACACATCGTAGAGTGTTAATATACAGCATAAGTTTGAACATGTTCATGGGTATTGGCAACACGCATGGTTATTTGGAAACCCATATGCATATCTTTTCGTGATTAACATGACTATGCCACAAAATTGTCAATTAGCATAACCAGATTATTTAATACATTGCGACTATTAAACATTTACACCCATTATGACCCTTACGCCTGTTACAACTATTGATCCATTATAACAATTTCATTCATTATGTCAAAATCACATCTTCGAGATGAAAGGTTGCAACCTCTCAAACTCTTGTAAACCAATTACGGCAAGCAACTCTAAGGTTAATGAAATATAGATATATATATTCAATTCAATCAAAAAAAAAAAAAAAAAAAACAGGACTCGAACTAGCTCATAAGAGTTCCAAGTTATGAGAAGCCAGATACCCAAATTGTATATACCACTTGATTCGCTGTTAATAGTGTAAACCATCATCGCTATAAATCAGGTAAAAATAAATTAGACAAATTAACGTTTAGAACAGGAATTGTGTAGATACATTATAATGAGCCACCTCAAGCCCAAGCCATTACTGGTTAAAAAATCATGATCATCTAAACAAAACAAAAAACCAAAGATGCATAGATGGCTTTCTCAGAGTACTGGCCTCTATGTAAAGCATTTCAGACCAACCCATACAGCCTTTTCAGGAAAAAAACACAAACCTCAAAGCATTAGATGGTTTTATATCTTGGCTTATTCTGCATAAACAGATCGAATTTAGCTTACAACACAAGAGCATTGATTATTTTATTTGATCAGCTGTAGTCAGGGCTAATGTTGTTAGTCAAAATTGTTTTTACTAATATCAAAATTTGTCTAAATTAAATTGTCTAAATGTCTAAATGTCTAAATTTATTTTTTAATAGTAATTTTTTAAAAAATGGCAAAGTCGAAATTGTCTAAATTCAATTTGCCTAAATGCCTAAATGTCTAAATAATTTCGACTAACAACATTAGTCAGGGCAAAGGAGATCTGCTATCGAAAGCTAACATTAAAGATCTTTCTCACACTAGATATTGCAAACATTATGCGCAAGGTCAAATACACTTATACAAGGCTCTAACCTCTGTAGCTACACAGTGCAGTTATTTGCAAAATTTGATGTATATACAATAAAAGATGTAAATCATATATATTTCCAGAATCATTTGATTGACATTTATATAGTAAAAGATATAAACCATATATAATTTCATTATATTTATTTTTTTTTTAAAAAATTAAAAAAAAAACATTAAATAAAAATAAAACACATGATCGATTAATCATCTTCTACTTCAACTTCAACCTCAACATGTATTTCTTTCAGCTCATCATTATTTTTGGCAATTTTTTTCTTTTTACGCTCAACTTCTTCCATGATATTAATAATTAGATTTTGCGTAAAGCAGATAATTACATTCATTTTGGGAGCTTGATCGTATGAATTATTTGAATAATTTTTGTTAGTTACAATTACACCAATATCATCGGGATGATAGCTGCTCATAAACCTGGCAACACGTTCAACATCATTAAAACCAACATCTCTTTTACACCTCTGCTTACAACAAATAAAAATGTTACAGCTGTTTTCATTATTCCTGGGACACCTATAAAAAAATTAGCTAAAAAATTTTTTGGCTAGTATTTTTTTTGGCATAATAAATTCAATAAAAATTGATATAATACTGTAATATATACAAATATATATATAATTTAAAATCAGGCGGCTAATATAAATAAAAAATTATGCATATTTCTTGTTGAATTTAAAAAATATAATATTTTCAAACTACATTTGCTGGCAAATTATTGAAAAAAACTTAGAAGGCCTATCAACTTAAAAAATTACAAAACACTTAGGTATTAGCAGGTCTTCTATAAGTCGGGTTCTTGTGCATTTTCAAAGATATAGTTGTACTGAAAAACTTCAATTGCTTTCAGGAAAACCACGTTCTTTAAACATGAATGATATAAATTATCTTCAAGTTTTAATGAAAGAAAAACCTGACTGATACTTGTATGAATTATAATCTGAGATAGAACTTTGGTTGGGACGTAACATTAGTCTTACAACAATTTGAACAGCTATACACTGACTTGGATATACGCACAAAAAGATGATATTTTATATATTTATTCTGAATCAGTTGTAGTCATTTCATACAAGTTGGATAACTCAAAAGTATTTGCCATGGACGATAAAGATTCTAGAGAATCTTTAATTGTTAGATCTACTGTTTTGCTTTGATTGTATTGATCATAATTTTTAGCGCATTTTTGATACATACAGTATTAATTAAGTCTTGATTTTTTGGAATCTCAACTTTAGTTGAATTTTTAGTTCAATTGACGAATTCTTGATCATATCTAACTTTTTTAATACTAGCACCTATTCATATAAAATATTTACTACTAGTAAAATGGTGACATTTTATAGACTAGAGCCTTATTATTAGGCCTTACAATTTAGAATTTTAAATAATATTTAAATTTCATGAATTGCTATTATTTTAAAATTACATTTATATAAATTCATAAAGAAAGTAATCTTTGTTCTTCCATTAATCTTTGTTGCAAACGTGCACTTTGCCCTAATTTTTGTAATCTGTCAAAAGAAAAGGCACTATCGAAAATAAGATCAGTAAGAGTACGAACCCGTGTTATATCTACAAATATAAGACCTGTTGCAAATTCCTTATTTTCAATATTTATGACAGCCTGTGGTAATATCAAACTTTGTGACTTATGAATTGTAATTGCCTAGGCAAGATATAATGGATATTGCATGCGAGAGCAAGTTCCTGATTTTCCCTCCCATGTGTATTTAATAGGTCGAATCGGTACTACCTGATTATTGTTTGATATAGATAACGTTAGACCTGTATAGTTATCCATTTTGAGCAAAATGACCGTAGGTAATGAAGACAGTGATCTTCCTAGTTCATATATAATATCAATGACTGTACCCATTGCTCTATTTACTAATACTTGGTTAGTCCAGAGATTAGAAATAAGCATTATACGAGCTCTAATTGACAGAAATAGAACAGGCTCAAGACCATTTGTTGCATCAGGAGATGCATTTCTAGCACCAGTACCACTATGAACAGCTTTTATTTTAGCGACGGGTTGATTAAGGTTTTTTAATTTAGTAATATTATACTCATCGACATTGTCGTGTTTAGCTTCAAGGTTGGAGGGCTAATGTTGATAAAAAATCTATTATTTCTCTTCATACTGCTCTTTCTTATGTTGCAAAGTATGCAGCAAAGTCAGAACCAAGATCAGCTGCATTTAACGAAATGTTCGCTACTGATATTTATAATGCAAAGTCTGATGAACCTGCACTTAAATCTATTCAACGACTCTTATTACATACTATATCAGAATATGATTTTTCTGCTCAGGAAACATCACATCTTTTATTAAAGCTGCCACTGGTCAAATCATCACGTATATTTTTTACTCTTAATCTTAATGAAAATAGCATATTGTGTAAATTATCCGGAGTAATAACATACAAAGTGCTGTTAAAACGAGACTTTCTTAACTGCAAATCTATTGAAATTGTCCTCCTGTATTTGAGAACTATTCTCTATTTAATCTATATAAAAACTTTATGCATAGTCCTTATACACACAAATAGAGCCTACGTAAAAAAGATTGTATTATTTGAATTTGGCCTCGGTCATCACCTCTTCGTTTAGAGCCAGATTGGAATGATTATTGTAGGTTAAAAGTACTTCTCCATATTCCTTACCGAAATATAATAGATTTTTTTCAAAATGATAATGAGATACAATGGATTGAGGTATATCAACAAAATCTTAATGAAATTGAAGCAGATAATAATGATCTTCTTGGTCAACCAGTAGATGCTGAAGATGAAAAGGAAGATGACGAATACGAAGAGCTTGAAGAAGATAATCTTGAATTTCAAGAACCATGGATGCGAATAGCTGAAAAAAATATACAGGCTTTGTCAAATAATTCATTTGATTTTGGAAAACGCTATATTGATACTGAATATGTATGGTCAGGATCATTAGAAATTTTTTCAAATCTTGATGATGTCGAAACATTTTTAGAATATGCTAAAAATGGTCAAATTGAGGCAATTGTTCATAATGATAATGAACCGTATATTGATCCATCCACACTAAACAAGACACAAACACAGATTTATGACTATGTAATTACATACTATTCTAGAATTCTTAAGAGAAAGTCAATCAATTCAATAGAACCTTTATGTGCTATTGTTATGGGTACGGTCAGTACCGGCAAATCATATGTTATTAAAGCTATTCACAATCGTATTTTGGTATTGGCACAAGAACATGGAATTAATTCAGAAGAGGAACTACCAATATTAGTTCTTGCACCAACCGGCATTGCGGCTTTTAACATAAATGGTCGTACAATTCACTTTGCACTTCAAATATCTATAAATTTTAATAATATAGAACTTAGTTCTGAATCTTTAAAAAAGTTTCAATGATCGTTTAAGAATGTTAAAATCATTTTATTTGATGAAAAAAGTATAATTGATCGTAAATTTCTTTCAATAATTGACCAATGTTTACGCCAAGCCTTTTCACAAAATAAAAACATGCTATTTGGAGGATGTTCTGTGTTGTTTTTTGGTGATTTCGGTCAACTACCGCCTGTTATGGACCTTCCAATATATGTGTTAGATTCAAGACCACATGATCATATTTTAGAAGCAGGTCGTAAGGTCTATGCTAAATTTAATAAAGCATTTAAATTAGAGACAATACAGCGACAAGCTAGTAATTCTGAAGAACAGCAAGTATTTCTTAATCTCCTTTTGCGATTGCAAGATGGTAAATCTACTAAAAATGATTGGCAATTACTGAATAAGAGAGTTCACATATTAGTGTTGCCAACAGAATATGCTATATTTAAAAATGCTATTCGACTATTTACAATTTGGAACCATGTCGATGAGTATAATATTACTAAATTAAAAAACCTTAATCAACCCGTCGCTAAAATAAAAGCTGTTCATAGTGGT